CTTGCCGATAAATTTTTATTGGCATTCCATCAATTCCTGGACCCTTGTTTATTGTTTAATGCCTGCAAGTGCAGCTTGGACTTTTTCCTTTGGTACCATGTTTTTTGAATGTCAACCAATTATTTTTGGCACAGTCACTTTGTGTATTCCTTTCATCTTATTTTGCTGCTCCTGTATCATTCAATATTTTGATCATCAACTCCTTCAATAGTTGATCCAACAGTTGACAGAATATCATCCAACAGTTGACTCCTTATGCTGTCAAAACAAAGGTATTTGCAGTGGAGATCTCATTGGTCCTGAAAATTTTTATCATACAATCTCAAGCTTCATTTCTATTATCAAGGCTACATTTCACAACTACTCTTTCTACATCTTTTCCCCCAACTTTCACATTCCAATCACCAATAATTATTAATGTATCTTAATTGCAAGTTTGATCAATTTTAGACTGAAGAAGTTGGTAGGATTCCTCAATTTATTCATCAACAGCTTTATTTCCCTAAAAAAGCTGGATTGACAAAGGTATCTATAAAAGTGGGCTCAAACAAGAACAAGTGTGAGGATGGTGCAGGACCAGGTAGTGCTCCATTCTGTTGTACATGAGTTGGAACCAATTCGGTGGCACCTAACAGCAGCAGCAGTAGCAACTTTAGCGTTACATGCATAAATCTGAATAATAGTTGTATTAACTAGATCTCCTTATATGCATGGAAAGAAATCACCCTAACACAGACAGCATTATACTTCAAGATAGATTTTAAAATGAAGTTTTTAATGATCAATTTGATACCATTCCCCTGAATTTGTTATTCCCAGCATAGTAAATCATTATTATTCAAAATGACCAATAACAGTCCACTTCAGATCATTAATGCCTAGAATATCAATGTTTATGCATTTCATTTCATTTTTGACTCCCAGTGTTCTTAGTTTCACACTTCGTATAGTTCACTTTCAATTTAGTAAGTGTGGTAGTTATATACTTTCATATCAACTTGATAAATAAGTGTAGGGGTGGAGTCTAGCCTATCAATTGGGTCACAGCCTGATGATGGATCCTTGTGGGCAGGGCCTTCTAATGAGAAGTCTGGAAACTTCCTCTCTTTCTCCCTACAGGAAGTCCACACTCTCTCTGCTTCACCTTCCTGTTGACAAGCCATGTGGAGCCACACTGAGACCTGAGCGAGCATTGTGGTTGAGACCTGTGCCAACCCTGTGATGCTGCCACTGCCATTAGATCCACAAAACATTTCACCCACTGCTCGATGACCTTCCTACATTCTGCATCACTGCATGTGGCTGCATGAGTCTGAAGAGAGATTTACGGACTAGTATGGGACTTAAGAGCTAGTATCAGACTTATGGACATGATCTGGACTGGGCTGGGATGTTTTCTTGATATACAATTGCTGTTTGATATAAATCTCTTTCATATATACAAGGGGTACCCCCCCAAAAAAAATTAATGGAAAAAGCTTGGGCGGAGCGCTCAAAGTCCACATTTTGCCCACTAGGCAAGCATCAAGCAACTCACTCTGAGTTAATGCACGCAGTGGCACCGCCTGCGAAGGTTTTCTCTGGTCACAGTGAATTTTTTCGTGAAAGCAGTTTCACTCAAACTTCGTTTTCTGTGATGGCCGATTTAAGAAAACAGCGTGCGGCTATTACATTTTGTTTGCTGCGCGAGAACAATGCTACAGAAACTGTTGAGATGTTGAACACATCTTACTACAAAAAACTTAAGTGTAAAAGTGATTTTCTTGTTTCAAACAAAGTGAAATGTCTATTGATGACAAACTTCGTTCTGGACATCCATCAACTTGCCGAATGGATGAAATGTCAACAAAATTCGTACACTTTTGCTCAAAGACTGACAACGGACCATTGAAGAGATGGGGAAGTTATCTGGACTATCTTGAGCTCGGTTCAGTGAATTTTAACAGAAGATTTGGGAATGAGAAGGGTCATGGCAAAATTTGTGCCTTGAGTTCTGATTGACCAGGAAAAAAAGTGTCCAGTGGAAATATGCTATACTTTGCAAGAACAGCTCTGAAGCAACCCAGACTTTTTTTCAAAGGCCATTACTGGTGATAAGACATGGTGCTATTCTTACGTCCTTGAAAGCAAGCATCAGTCAAGCCAATGGAAGACACCATCATCAACTCACCAAAAAAACCCAAAAAACTCCTCAAGTGAAATCAAAGATCGAGACAATGCTCATTTGTTTTTTAGAAGTGGGGGGGATAGTGCATTTGGAGTTCATTCCAGCAGGCCAGACTGTTAATCAACCCTTCTATTTAGAGTTTCTGAAATGACTGTGTAACAGTGTGGGGCAAAAAAGCCTGATTTGTGGCAGACAGGGGACAGGTTTTGCCACCATGACAATGCACCTGTTCATGGAGCCATCTCAGCGCACCAGTTTTTGGAAAAAAACAGCATGCCGCTTTTGCTCCACGCATCTTACTCACCTGACCTCCTCTGTCCAACTTCTTTTTGTTTCCACGAATGAACAGGGACATGAAATGACAGCAATTTGACAATGGAGAAGAGGTGAAGGAAAAAAATGGGAGAAGTGCTGACAGCCATCCAAATGGATGAGTTTGAAAAATGTTTCCAAGAATGGAATTGCAGATTAACAAACGTATTAAGTATAATGGAGAGTATTTTGAAGATGATAAGGTTCCTTTGTAAAAAAAAATTAAATATATAGTTTTGAAAAAAAATTCATTTTTTGGGGGTACCCTCTCATATAGATGTGTGTCCTCGGATTAGTTTCTCTAGAAAGCCCGGTCAAACACAGTAATGGATGGCTGGTGTTGTCTCACACCCCATTAGCAAATGAAGGTCCCAAAGCTTTATTCTGTCCATATCATTATTATTGACTATTTTTAGGAGGCAACTCTCTCCCAGTTCTAGTCTGAGTGTCTTCCAAGTGGCGTGGCTCATCATCTGGCAATATATCTGACAGTGTTTTGCTGCTATTCATGAGGTTTTCAGTAGTTGATTTCTCAGAAGGCACAGCACATTTCTTATTCATATTCTGTTCTTAGTCTGAAAGCTCCACTGAAACCTGATCACCTTGGGTGACCCTAGAGGTATTTAAAATACCTCTGGCAGCACGCAAGCCACCAAAGTATGAAAAACTGACAGAGATGTGGTGGATTGAATATACACATTCATATAATTCACCCCCAGAAATTTTGAGTAAAAAGTTTGGTTAGGGTCTGAAGTCTGTTTTTGTTTTTTAAGCTGTCTAAATAATCTAGATGTGGATGATCAATGGGACTATAAGGCCTCGAGTAATTATACAATCTATGGTTCTTTATAGAACCTACCTACTATATAAGAAATGCTCAGAAGCATGTGTGTTTAGGTTCACTTTGGCCAATATTATCCTACTGGTTAACCAATTGTGGTCAGAATCCCTCTTAACATATACAACTTTCTGATGACTGCTGATTATCAAGATATTAGCCATATCCCCAAACAGGTAATAGGTCTGTGTCTTAATGGGCTTTTGAGAAGGAAGGTAAGATGACAAGAACCAAGTGAAGAAATCTGGGCTGACAGGCTCATAAAGGGCCAGTCGAATAAGGAAAGTAAAATAACGGTTCCCCGAAGTCCATGCTCTGCTCCAGTCCCTAGAACTCTGAACATATTACCTTACTTGGCAGGAGAGAATTGATATTGTCAATGAAACAATTTTACTAATCTGCAGACCATAAAATAAGCTGACCCTGGCAGCTTCAGGGTAACCAGAGAAAACAGTTGTTGATCTTGCCTCATGGCAACCTCTTGTGTTATAATACAGTCAAACTGCTCAGAGAGGTTTTCTTGGCTGTAATCTTTATAGAAATATAACTCATAAGTTTCAGGTAGTCGAATTACACTTATAATGTGGAAGCGAGGCAAGTCAGTCTCACAGTTCTTGTTGGTTTTTAAGATGGAAGGCAGTCCCAAAGCAAAGAGTGAAGACAGCCTCCAGAGGGTTGAAAGAAATGGATTCTTCTCCTTGCAGCTCTAATAGGAATATAGCCCTGTCCACAATTTGATTTTAATCTAGTGAGGTCCATTTCACATTCATTATCCAGAATTGCAAGATAAATCATTTGTGGTAGCTTAAGCCATGAAATTCGTGGTGATTTGTTACATCAGAGGTGAGAAGCCAAAATTATAGCAACAATTAACTACTTAAAAAGAAGGCAGATTTTTTTCTTACCTATATCCATTGGCCATTCTGAATTTAATCTGTCCATGCTACCCTGATACAGTTGCCCATCCAAGGGTGTTTTTATTTGTTGATCTGATAATTTCCCTGTACTGACAGATCTGAAAAGAACAGTGATATTAATAATTGAAAAGTACACTTAACAATGAAATCCTTGACAACTATAATATTTTATTAGTTTATTGTGATGTTGATTATTGGTTTAGCTGTGAAGATTTTTTCTGTCTTCATGTTAAAGTGTAGTCTATACTGAAGACTATAGTGTCTGGTCTTTTATTAATTAAGTACTTCAAGTCCTCTTCACTTTCAGCAAATTTGAAACATCTATATATTGCAGGTTGTTAACAAGATATCCTCCAATTCTGATGCTACAGTCTTCTCCATAGACTATAGCTTCTCAGAATACACACTGACAAAAGGACACAACTTTGATGCACACTTTTTTCCTAATAAGCAACAACAGGATAAACATAGACAATACTAAAGTTGTCAAAGATTTACAATGAATGTCCAGGGAAGCAGAATCAAAGAAATTAAACGATGTATTACACTGCTGGAAAAGACCTCTTTAAAGTGTTCAAATACAAATATATCTCTTTGAGGACTTGGGTGCACCTGACCCAACCCATAGTATTTTCAATTGCTTCATATGCATGTGAAAGTTGAACAGTAACTAAAGAAGATCAGCAAAGAACTGGTGCCTTAGAATTGTGTTTTTGACAAAGAATATTGAATATTTGAGGAATTGCTAAAAGAACAAACACATCTAAATGGACGAAAAGTACAATCAGAATGCTCTCTGTAAATTAGGATGGGGAGACTTCACCTCACATACTTTGGACGTTTTATTAGGAGGGCCCAGTCCCTGGAGAAGGACATCATGCTTGGTAAAGTAGAGGGTCAGCATACAAGAAAAAGACTGCCAACAAGATAGACTGACACAGTGTCGTAAACACAACTATGATTATGAAGATGGCACAGGATTTAGCAGTGTTTTGTTCTGTTATACACAGGTTCTTTTCTTTTCCCCCCCAGCAATACATAGGTTCTTTATGAACTGACTCAACAGCTTCTTGGCCAATGAAGAAGTAAAACTGGGTACTTTGGGGTATGTATCAGGCTAAAGGAGTTTGTTTAAGCAAGGCAGAGGCCAAGTGACCACATGGCTGAGAAGCCAAGGACCACAGAAACAGGCCTGCCCGCAGAGCTGAAAAGAGGTTCCATAGACAAAAGAACTGTAGTCTTAACAATTTGTAAGCTGTTGATTTAAGTAATACAATCCATAATCTCAGTATTGTTTGTAAGTTCTGTGTGGCCACTGCAATGGATTATGAACCCAGCAGAGATATAAAGTGCCATGGAAGAGATGGTTGGTGTCAGAATAAGTTAAAGAACGTTGGAGAGTGGAGGTATGTCTAAACTCTGCCTCATAAAAATTATCTTTGGGCAAATATAGATTTGAGTGTCCTCTCTTTTCCCTTCTATAGGCATTTACTTAAAGGTACATAACAACAACAATACACCTAAAAAAGAATCTACATATTTAAATATAAAGGCTGACTTAAGCCAAGCAATAAAAGGGTTAATGAAAAACCAGGAAACAAAGGGACAAAAATATAGGAAAAAAAATTCAGGGTGGGGGTAAACTTCAATAACCAAAATAAACAAAAAATGTAAACAGAATATTCAAGGGAGGTATAGTTCTTCATTTATAGTTACAGGAAGCATCTGTGGTTTTCAGAGATTCTAAATAAACACAGTTCATATCATGGACCATAAGTCACGAACCAGTTAATAAATAAATTTGGTAGAATTGCTTTAATGATATTAATGTCAATGCTAATACAGTATTCATATTTAAAGTTAGAAAGAAAGAGTCTCTTACCTGCCAAATAATGTCTTGTTCTGCTGTTCAGGCTTTTGCTTCTCATCTCCTTGCACTGAGAGACAACGAGAGCATGCCTGTGGGTCATTCTCAACTCTAGAATGGCCTTCGGCTGGCCCCTGATGAGTGACCAAGGCTAACAGGTTGGAAGATGCTTGTGTTTTGGGGATTTTGAAAGGAGCTGTGGTCTAAAGAAACATGTAAAATAGTTAATAATGATGCAAAAAAATGTGAAGAACTGTCAGGCTGTAAGGTACAATAATCAAGAGTACATAGATTGTGAAGCTAAGCAATCATGGATTTAAACATTAACATTTCTACTTAAAGCATGTGTGACCATAGGCAGCAGGTCTCTCTATGTCTCAATTTCTTTTTCTATTTATTAGGGGCAATAATATAGTGTTCTTTGGATGATAAAATAGAATAGTGCATATAAAGCACTCAACAAATAAAATTCTTAACACTGGGTGTGGCACATAGCAAGTGCTAATGAAATTATAACTGTTCTCATCATGAATCCTTTCCATAAAGTACTATACTAGTTCATGACCTACAAAAGGGTTTAACCAACACACCTTAGTAGGAGAGCCAATGATTGTTGGTAAAGGAGTTTTAAAGAACCAGTCAGAACTCCGTGGAGAGGATCCCATGTGCTTGGTGGGAGAGGCTCCCAGGCTGCCAGGACGACTGGGCTGAGGGGTATAGCTGTACCCAGCCGTGGCATGAGAGAGGCACACAGGGTCAGAGTGCTGCTTTCTGAGCTTCTGTTTGTTCTGATAGATGTCGGTGAGGGTGGGAGTGATCTGCAGTCTAGCACCCAGTAAGAGAGATTGTGGTGACTGAGTCTGTGGTACTGAAGAACCTACCAAGAAAATGAATGCAGTATTACCTCAAAGTGAAGAAGCACAGGGCAAGTCTTAGAAGAAAAAAAGTTTAATGAGCATTCTAATGAAATGTCTTGGTTTTCATGAGGTATCCTAAAAATTGTTTACTTAGTATAAGACTAAGTTCTGGCATCCTGTACAAAACAATAATAAATGCATTTTCAATGGTATTCTCAGAAGATGGAATTTTCATGATGCTACATAGATCAGCTGTATTAATCAGTAACTCACAAATAACTCAGATTATGGTAAAGAGTGACTCATGCCAGAGAGAAAAATAAAATTAATGGTTGAGGTTAATAAAAATAAATGTCTGTATTGAATGATTTCTACTTCATAAAAGTGCAAAGATAGAGTAACTAAAACTTTCAAGCTAACTCAGAATAACCTCCATTCAAATAAAGCAAATTTCAAAACATATAAGATGTATGGGAAAAGATTAGAGATTACCTTTCCTAGATTTTACTTTATTTTGTTTAAAGATAACAAGCATATAGTCATTTTAATAATTTTAACAGTTTCATTAGTGAAATATTTGAAACCTGAAATATCTAAGTTCCCAACAAGAAAATATTTGGTCAAAGATTTTCTTGATTCCTAAGGAGATACCATAGGAAGAGCCTTGCAGTAAATAAGCCTCTTTCCTGGCACAAACCTGTTGTAGCCAACCTGAGGTTCACTTGAGTTCATGGTACAAAACTCAGTGGAACTTTGGAAACCCAAACTACCAAATAATATTAAGGCATAAAAATATTTGTAGTGACCTAATTATCAATAAAAAGTAACACCAACAAAAACTTTAATATTGACCACTTCTGGCTAAATCTCATCCCAAACCTAATATTTACTCTTTCAGAACTCTATTCTGTCCTTTAACAAATGAACAAATAGAATTAATGGCAAAATATCATGACACAATGCAAAATATAAAATACTAAAGTTAGAAGGAGATGTCTTTTTAAATGACACAGGAATCCTTTAATAGGCTCACCTCTGAAATGCACATACAATAGAATTGGACTAATAATGGTATAATAGTATTAATTACAAATATAATTTCAGGTATGTCTACATAGATAAGCATATGTACACATGCACATATATATATACATACAATATGACAAATAAGTGTTTATAGTTATTTATCTCATGCAGAAGAGCCCTGGTGTGGTGGTGTTTATGAGTTAGGCTGCAATCTGCAAGGTCAACAGTTTGAAACCACTGGTGACTGTGTGAGAAAGATGGCGGGTTCGACTCCTATAAACAGTTAGTCTGGAAAACTCCTATAAGGTTGCTATGAGTCAGTCTTGACCTGATGGCAGAGAGTTGTTTTATTATTTGTCTAATGCAAACTGGAACCTTTTACCAAGAATCTAAAATATAGTGTCATGGAGTCCGTTCAGACTCATACGGACCCTATATAGGTTTTCAGAGGCTGAAAATCTTTACAGGACCACAAATCTGGACTTTCTCTCACAGAGCAACTCATGGATTTAAACTTCTAACCTTGTACTTACTCGACAGTAACAGCAGGGTTCATTACCAAGAATAGTATCATGAAAAATAATAAATTCTTATTCATAAATAAATTAATAAACCCAAACAAAGACAATTAGATGTATGATATACTGAAACATACCACCAAGATTAAAAGAAAAACAGGATTGTAAAGGAAAACACCACTCATCCAATTAAATAAAATTATGATTATTAAAAACAAAATAAGCTCTCCTACCTGAAGAGTTTCTACTCCTAGATTCATGGACCTGAGATTGCCCACAGCAGCACTGACTAAGTTGCTCAGGGATGATTCCAACTATGGAAGATGGGAAAGGAAATCATTCAAAACCAGTAAAAGATGAAGTAAGCAAGCAACACATGCATAAACTTCACAGTGCATTATAGTTTACTATATGGTTTACATAATACTTTAATCAGAAAAGATTTAGTTCAAGTAGCACTTAGTAAGCAACTAATGTGCTGGGAGCTAGGGACAAAGGATTAGAAAAATAAAACAAACATACACTCTGCCTTGAAACTAGATCATCAATTAGGAAAGCAAGTTACAGAAACCAGTAATGTCTGAAATAGGTGTTTGTATCAACAGAGAATTGGTCAAGAGTGATAAGTGCTTAGGCTTTTGGTAGACCTGGTAAGGCTCAGGTCTTACTCAAAAGAAGCGGCTACCAGGAGCTCAGTAGACTGCCAGCCCCGCTGTTGCCCCTGAGAACCCATCACATTCAAGTATGTCACACTTCCCTTGGATTGCTGCAGCCAATGGCTGAACCAGTGGGGCCCTAATTCAGACCCAATCAGGTAGGTTGAAAAAAATATAAATTCTAACAGACAACTTAGTTTGGGAATGCCCTGCCAGTTTGGGCAAAATTTTCTTAGAAATGAGGTATAATTTGAGACCTTTCCAGCCCAAATCACCTTTATTCACTTACTTTCTTTACATGTGTTAGTCCTACATTTTGTTCTGAAGGGTCTTCCTTCCCTCCCTTTAATCTTTCAGATGATTTTTCCTCTCATAAATCTTTTTAAAAGTTATTTATTTATTTATTTATATTGGGGGGCGTTTACAGATATTATAACAATCCATAAATCAATTACATCAAGTGAACTTGAACAGATGCTGCCATCATCATTTTCAAAACATCTTCTTTCTACTTGAGCTCCT